CACACACACACACTGTCACTTTAATCAGTCTTAATAAGCTCTTTTGCACTACAAATCATTATATCTGCACTGTTGTCTACTTCACTGGTTTGCACTCTATCTGCCATGCGCCTTGTGCTGCTTTATATATATTTTTTTAAATATTTTTTTTACATTTGACCTTATTTGTATAGTTGTATTTTATATTTAATCTGTATGTCTGTATTTAGGTTCTACTGTTAGTGTTATCTGTATGCACCAAGGGTCTGAGAGTAACGTAATTTCAATTCTCTGTGTGTATGTGCTGTACATGTGGAAGAATTGACAATAAAGCAGACTTGACTTGACTTGACATCATCTGCTGCTGTGTAATCAATAGACACCGCTAAAAAATCTGAACAAAATGAGAAGAAAGGTCATTTATTAATCTCTGAACGCTCACAAGTCGGGTTCCATTTGAGCGCTTTCTTTTATGTTTTGTAAATATCTGTTTTCCAGTGATGCACCAAAGTCTGTGAACAGATGTGTAATCTTTCTGCGATGGCGTGTTTTGACTGTGATCTTTATTTTGATGAGCCAAGGTCTCTTAGTCTGCTGTTTTCAGTTTATGCGTGAACAAAACTACACTAAACACGATGCCATCCAGTAATCACAATGAGCCTTGTGCTTTGTTACTTTTGATGTGAATCAAAGTCTTAGCTTTCAGATTCTGTCAGTTTTATAACAAAATTCAAACAATAAATGTGGTTTTGATGCTCTTTAATGTGGCGTGACAGATCGCTGGATGGCTTCAGTTTCGATCTTCTCTTCCTCTTCACTATTAGTTATAGCACAAGCTTACTGAAATGAATCATGACTCGTCTAATCTCTCAATCAGCATTTCATCCACCGAAAGACGTCATTAATACAGCTTGTGTATTTTCCTCAGGGTGGACATTCAATGTCCATTAACCTGTTAGTCAGCAAAAAAGTAACTTTAGAGAGGAGCATTTTGATCGATATATGCACTTTATTACATATGTTGGTTTTGTAAAAATCTCTGTGGTCGTAACAGGAACAGGGCTTGACATTAATGTGGATTGTCTGAAGGGCAAGTAGTACATAATTTATTTCTAGAGCACCTTTCTAGAGCAAGTGCCATAAAGTGCTTTACTGTACATCCAAGATAAGTGAAACCGAATCTTACTTGCCCGACCGGACAACTGACCTGAGTTGAGGATCGTGGAGAAATCAAAACAAATGATCACAACTGCACACAGAAGAAGCATAATGTGGTAAAAATGTAGTTTTTTTATTAATATAATAATATATGATATAGCCTAGTTAAGCAACATGACACAACCAAGAAAGTGCAGTTTTCCTTGAAAACCAGTATGATTGAAAATTTGACATTGATTTTATACAAGTTCAAACAAGTAGTTCATATTAAGTGACTTACATTTTAGTACAATATTGTCAGTGTTGACTGTTTTTGTTCGATTTGATTAACAAAAATAGTTCAAACAAAGATGGCAGCAGAGCAGTCGCGCATCTCTGCGCGACACACAGCGCTGATTCCTTACTGAATGATTCAGCGTTTCTGAATGAATCATTTGAGTCAATGATTCAGTGATTCATAAAGACAGGCACTCACTTCATTCTTAAATGAATCAGCCGTCTGAACGAATCATTTGAATGAATGACTCAATGACTCACTGATTAAGATCTACTGGCGGTTTACTTTCATATTTAAAAGTATCTTATCCTTGCATTTTTCTCCCCAACATTTCATATTTGTATATTAAAAAACTGATTTAAAACCGCAAGCTCGTAACATTATTTATGCTGTTGTACTTTTGCAGTGTGAATGCTTCATTAAAGTGTGTGTGTAAATGCATCTAAACACTTCAGCCGCTTCTGTTTCTTCTGCAGGGGGAAGATCGGTTTTGTTCATAATGATTTCATTTGATTGGTAACAGCCCTATAGTGTCTTATTAGATGAAGTGAAATTATTAATAAAATGTAACTGCCCTTTATATAGGCAAAAAAAGACCTTGAAATCAATTTAAATCAATTTTAGTATGCAGTAACTTTAGTTATATAAAATGTCATTTCCAACAACAAAATTGTGGCCAGTGAAAATACTGAGTGGCTAGTCATTTTGGAAAACCACTAGCCACAGTGGCTGCTGAGCACAAAAGTTAATGTCAAGCCCTGGTTATAACCCATTTGGAAATATTTCCTTCTCGTGTGTGTGTGTGCGTGCGCGTGCTGATAGGGCCTCAGGAAACCTGCTTTCTCTGCGTTATTGGACATGCTAACTGTTGATGTAATTCAAAAAGGCTAAATAAACTTATTACATGGAAAAAACACACTCTATGAGGGTTTGGGTTTGTCAGGAGCTCTGTATTAAAGCTTTTTTGCCTATAGAAATAATTCCAGTGTGTGTGTTTTACAGGCTGCTGGTCTGGGTAGATTGAGGCCCAACACTCTGGTGCTCGGCTTCAAGAACGACTGGCGTATTGGAGATATAAAGGACGTTGAGACCTACATAAACCTAATGCAGTGGGTTTCATCTTCTGTTTGAAAACAATCCGCTATTAATACAAATCTTATTGAATGAGTGTGGCAGCAGCTTCTGTTATGCTCATACAGTGATAGTGAAGTGTTTGTTTGTTTGTTTGCTATTCATCTACGTAACATGAGATTCCAGATGAGTAAAAGCTAATCAGAATGTTTAGTTTTAGCTACAGAAGAGAGAAATGGATGCTAAACACTGTCAGAAAGTATGTGTAAAACAGCTTGTCAGTGGGGCAGCAGTACTGTCAGAGATGTGTACGTGATCTATTGTGGACCACTCCGTGACTAGCTGTTGCAAGCCTAAATGTATCATTTTCTTTTAACACGTATTGTTTTCTGACATTAATTTTAATTCATAAATGTGCAGTTTTTCCCATGACATGTTCAGGTGCATCGATGTATTTCTAGTGTATGTACAGCTGAAGAACATCTGGTAGATGTTTATGCAGCTTTGAAGTAAATGGTGTGGGTCTTGATCCTGTCAGACATTAACACTTGTTTATTTGTGTGTGTGTGTGTGTGTGTGTGTGTTTGTGTAGTGATGCGTTTGATTTTCAGTACGGTGTCGTCATTCTCAGACTGCGAGAGGGACTCGATATTTCTCACATTCAAGGCCAAGGTACAGTGCTGTACATTTAACTACTACACTAACCAGTCTCTTTTAAAGAATAAGCCTATTTTGACAAATGCTGCTGCGTAGTGCTGTTGATTTATCGTGAAGAGTGAAATCACAGTTTGCTAACGATGAACTACACAAGTCGAATATTGACTCTGCTTTACATGTCCTCTCATAGGAACAAAGTGTTTTAAAGGTAGGGTAGGTGATTTCGGAAAGGCTAGCGATAGCAAGCTAGCTTTGAAAGCAAGATCCCCTCCCTCCCTGTGGAATCACTGCAATGCCACGCCTCCTCCAGACCAGCGACACGATGATTAGCTCATGTCTCGTTCACCAGTGAGAATCATCACAGTAATACGGCTTTTCATTCCCGCTGGAACGCGCTGATGACGTATCAAATGTATGCAAACACATATTTTGACAGGCAGCCTATCGTAATGTTCTGACCGAGGGATATGATTGGACGAACATTTTATGGTCCTACTCCTTCCACAGACAATAGAAATACATTTAGAGCACTTAACTTAGTGATTGCTATCGGGATGTGAAGAGACTTTCAACCAGCATAACAAAAAATGTTTCTGACCCAAATCACCTACCCTGCCTTTAACTCTTTAAAGCCTTTAAGACACTGAGTTGGACATGCCTGGTGGACCTGCAGTGTTTGTCCAGATGAAATTGTCCATGTAATGAGGCCGTTTTCTGTTGGTCATTAACTGGATTTCCCGTTCACGCTAAATTTGAATTTGCCTTGATCTCAAAGCAATGCTGAACTTTCCCTTTGTTTCTAAAGATGATTCTTCAGCTGTGAAGGATGTGGTGGTTTCAGTGGACATGAGCAAAGACTCGGATGGAGACTCGTCCAAACCCTCCTCCAAGGCCACCAGTGTCCAGAACAGCCCGGCTGTCCAGAAAGGTTGGCGCTTTTACTTCTCAGTATGTTCGTGAAGAAGTTAGTTGTTCACCACAGAGTTACTTGTGTCTTTTAAATATTCATTTGTTGTAGAAAATGCTGAAAATGAAAAGGCAGATGAGTTTATTTCCCAGGAGTATTTTGTAAAATGTTCCTCTTTGGCAGTAGTTGCTCAGAAGTCATAGGGCGACCTTCTGATTCAGCGTGTCCTTTTGGGGCCAGTTCTCATTGAAAACATTCCACATCCCATCTCATCCACACTCCATGTGTAGGGTTGGGTACCGTTCACATTTTAACCGGTACCCAACTGTACCTTTTTTCTGTACTTTACTCTCTGTGTAATTACAAAAACATTTATTTCAGTGAAAAAATAAGTCCAAAAGTCTCAATTTCAACATTTTGAACAATAGGGCCCTACAAACCTTTTCTTTCTTTTTCTTTTTCGTTTAAATTTTTCTGAAAATCAAATGAAGGCATTAAAAATTTATTTTAAATCAAATGAAAATTAAACCCTTTTATTTTTTGGCAAACTAACTGAGGTTTACTGTTGAAATTAATACATGGAAGAAAAATTGTGTGAATATTCCTTAAAACAATTTTTAATAGGCTAATAATTGTATTATTTTTTTCTACAATTAAGTGATAAATCTAGTTGTAATATTTATTTTTATCATTTAATTGTTGTATTTAAATTTGATAGAAAATGGAATATTTAAAGATGTACATTATACTGTACAAAAGTAATACAAGAGTAATGTATTTCTGTTTTTGTTTATTTTGACAGGTTGCTATGAAGTTTCTGTGTGTATACAGTATGATGATGCTAGCTTTCTCAAATGAAACGGTAAAATTCTCGCGAAGTGACTCTCACAGCAGCTCTGGAGATTAAATTGTGTTCATGCCGTCACATAGTGAGACGCAGAGGCCGGAAATCACCGCGAGCATCACGCGTGCTTCAGTATTTGTGTAGTAAACAAAACCGCGTTTCCACCATTCACACATACAGAGGCAAGCAGAACATGCAGGAATCATATTTAAAACATATTTTTGCATTTTAATGTTCACAGACACTAGTTCATATCGCGATCCGAATTAAGTGGAAGTGGCTACTTTTGATTTATTCGTCCAAAATTGACGAATTCTGTGGCATTCCGCGCTATAGCAAGTTTTTATGAATGGACTCCACGATCCCATCCGCGTTTTCGCAGAAACCATATGGCTCTAGGAGTGTAACATTTCGGCTCGCCCTGTGTGTTGTTTGAATGAGTTGCAGGGGGGACCTCACGTCACAGGGTCTCTCTTTCTCTCTCTGTAGCGTATGCTCCCAGATGCGTTCTCAGGTACCGAAATTTGGCACCGATTGATTTAACGTGAATCGGTACTCGGTAGTACCGACGCAATTCGGTCGGTACCCTTAAAAGTACCGAGTTCGGTACCCAACTCTTTCCATGTGTTTTCTGAAATGTCTTCCCAACACAACACAAGCGAAGCATGTTCTCTGAAGGGTCCAGGCTGGGAACACAGCGAGTGTTGACGTCTGTCTATGATAAATTACTCCGAGGTCTGCAGTATCGACCTCTCATCTCCATCTGACTCTGGAGGACTCTCTGAAGCCTGAGAATATAACCATAATAAAAAACAAATATAGCCACAAGCGGCGATCAGCAGGGGTCAGTCATGTGAGAAAACTGGAGAAAATGAGCAGAACTGCCAAATTTGAAAGGACACGTGGATGTACAGCTTTCTCGATCATCTCCATTAAGAGGTTTCTAGTGAATGCACTCACTCAGAGCAGTGAATCATTGCATTGGCCTGCTTCACCAGGTGTCCATATGTATGTTGTCCTATCTAGGACACACCTGAAGAGTTCATTGGCTTGTATTTTCCAAATTCCCAAACACCTCTTCTCGAGTTTCACTACATGATATGCACAACTTTACACAGTTTTCTAGGACAACTTTGACAACATATGTTTTCTCAATGCATGCTTGATTTAGTGCAAATAGAACACACAGCAGAAAAGTTCAAAATGGCAGAAAAATTTCCAAGTTGCAATGGAAAACCTACGATTGATAACATAATCAGCAACTTTTAAACATTCAAGAAAGCTTTCTGCCATACAGCCCAGTATATACAGATCCAGATTGAAATCTGAAGATCATGTCTCAGCTGCCTTTGTGTTCAAACAGCAGAAAAGTGGAATATAGATTCAGCTTTTCCTGCAGAAGCATTGGGCTGGGCAATATGGCAAAAACTAAAACAAAATCTTGATTTTTTTTTTCAGAACGTTTGACTGATTCTCGATTTTTAAGTAACTTTTTCTTTATTAATCCTCTAGTTAAAGAAAACTTTTAGACAAATCGCTTGTTAAATACATTTGCAAAAAAGATGCATGAACTACAACTACATCTTGTACAAACTTGGCAGAAATTGCCAGTTCATACAATAATTATTTGAATATATATATTAATTTGAATATATATTATAAATAATTATAATTCATATAATATGAATTTAATAAATCATTAGCAGCAAAAGGCAAGCAATGTTGTCTCTAAAATTCTTTCAGTATAAACTTTTAATCTGAAGCGAGAGATTTGGGGGAGTGGCTTATGTGCATCCGATATATGTCACATTGCTCACGGCTGATTGGTCCAGCTTTGGCTTGCGAACTCTAACTCCGAATAAAACCTGCAGTTACCATGGAGATGAAACCCGCTCGAAACCAACTTACCTTCTTGAGGCCGACAACTCAGAGTTTGCTCAAACGAAACGTGAACTTGCCTGGGTAAAAACTGAAACGGGCTTCGTGCTACAGGCTTTACATTACAGCGAACAGGTTGACCTATCACCTGGTGTGTGTGTGTGTGTGGATGAAAGTGTGGTCAACTGCAGCTGAACAAGCCTCTCTTTGTGTTTGACTGACGCACATGTTTCCCATTGCAACATTAGCAGACTTTAACCCTCTCCTGTTTTTTCCAAACATTATCCAGATGAGGATGAGGATGGCAAAGCCCACACTCAGCCGCTGTTGAAGAAAGGCAGGACATTTCTCTGATTCTCATTCTTTGCTTACTCTCTCTGTCTGACCTGCATGCACTTTCTCTTGGTGATGTTTTAGGACGCGCTGCTTTCATGAGTGTTTCTGCTGGTTTGACCTCTGACCTTCATCTCTACATGTGCTAGCGTGTGTTTCAGCTCCAATGATGTCACTTCCTGTCTGTGATCTAATGCTCGGTGTCTTCCTGCAGGACTGCTTCTCTTTCCGCTGACGACTTTCTTCAGTCTCTTTCCTTTCTTCTGTTTGTCCGATCCATTAGATACATGGCTCTCAGCTCTTGATCTGGAGTCTGAGCGTGTGTTTGTGTTTCAGATATTTCAGAACGTTTGACTGATTCTCGATTTTTAAGTAACTTTTTCTTTATTAATCCTCTAGTTAAAGAAAACTTTTAGACAAATCGCTTGTTAAATACATTTGCAAAAAAGATGCATGAACTACAACTACATCTTGTACAAACTTGGCAGAAATTGCCAGTTCATACAATAATTATTTGAATATATTATATGACTTATAAATAATTATAATTCATATAATATGAATTTAATAAATCATTAGCAGCAAAAGGCAAGCAATGTTGTCTCTAAAATTCTTTCAGTATAAACTTTTAATCTGAAGCGAGAGATTTGGGGGAGTGGCTTATGTGCATCCGATATATGTCACATTGCTCACGGCTGATTGGTCCAGCTTTGGCTTGCGAACTCTAACTCCGAATAAAACCTGCAGTTACCATGGAGATGAAACCCGCTCGAAACCAACTTACCTTCTTGAGGCCGACAACTCAGAGTTTGCTCAAACGAAACGTGAACTTGCCTGGGTAAAAACTGAAACGGGCTTCGTGCTACAGGCTTTACATTACAGCGAACAGGTTGACCTATCACCTGGTGTGTGTGTGTGTGTGGATGAAAGTGTGGTCAACTGCAGCTGAACAAGCCTCTCTTTGTGTTTGACTGACGCACATGTTTCCCATTGCAACATTAGCAGACTTTAACCCTCTCCTGTTTTTTCCAAACATTATCCAGATGAGGATGAGGATGGCAAAGCCCACACTCAGCCGCTGTTGAAGAAAGGCAGGACATTTCTCTGATTCTCATTCTTTGCTTACTCTCTCTGTCTGACCTGCATGCACTTTCTCTTGGTGATGTTTTAGGACGCGCTGCTTTCATGAGTGTTTCTGCTGGTTTGACCTCTGACCTTCATCTCTACATGTGCTAGCGTGTGTTTCAGCTCCAATGATGTCACTTCCTGTCTGTGATCTAATGCTCGGTGTCTTCCTGCAGGACTGCTTCTCTTTCCGCTGACGACTTTCTTCAGTCTCTTTCCTTTCTTCTGTTTGTCCGATCCATTAGATACATGGCTCTCAGCTCTTGATCTGGAGTCTGAGCGTGTGTTTGTGTTTCAGATAAGAGGAGCCCGACGTTCCCCCTGAATGTGGCCGATCAGCGGCTGTTGGATGCCAGTCAGCAGTTCCAGCAGAAGCAGGGGAAGGGCACCATCGACGTGTGGTGGCTCTTTGATGACGGAGGTGAGTGGAGAACGTACCGTTACGATGCACTATGAAATCTGAACATTGGCCAGGATTCGATTCTGTTATTTTGGAAACAATTCGTTCTAATCTCCGAAATGTGATGCAAAAACAAATGTAACAAGGACTCAGTGTGAACACGGTAAGTGTACTCGCGCATTAGATTATGTGTGATCTTTTGTGTGTAACCTTAACTTGTGCTTCCAAAAACTAGTGAACTTAACCTGGCTTCTGGAAGGTTAGGAACCGTTTTACTAAAGCAGCATCCAGTCAGGTCAGCGAAAACTACACCTGGGTCACAAGCTCTTAGGTGTGACTAAAATGGTGCATCAAGATAGGTGTCTTTTCATGTCATGATAATGATACATGTATATCGCAGTCTTGTTTCATTTACATGCCAATGAAATTTCAATTTTCTCAGTACTAGTACAGCAGCAGGCTGCTGTCACTTTAAAATCGAGTGCACGCATGTGATTGTACTCAACCGGTTACAGCCATTTAAGACATAACCGGCTGTGTTTACATGACAATTTAGCAAAACAGACAGTTTGACGTGTTTGTGTGTATTTGGCCATTTGATCGTAATAATCTGTGAAAAGGACTTTTTAGTTATTTATTTCTTTTCATTTTTTCAGTCCTCATCTCTCTCTCTCACTCTCTCTCTCTCTCTCTCTCTGAGAGCACATGAAACCTGTCAGACAGCATACGAGCGCTAAATTGAGTTTTCTCACTTCAACGCTTTACAATCACTTGAACATTTGATCTGGAAAGACTTAAAAAAACATGTGCAAATGGTTACCCTTTGCCAGGTGGCAGTTCTGTAACTGTCCCGTCTGTTTTCCACATTGGCACTGGGCCACTGAGAGTCCTTATGGTACAGTTTTTTCAGTTTATTTTAAACGCTTTTCATCAGCAGGGTACATTTACACTAGCTAACGTATTAAATGCATCTGAATACTGTGTTAGTGACTGAAGTATTGTGAGGTGGCGCTCACTGGTGCGTCTGGACGGGCTGTAGATTGGTGTGGAGGTTAGAGGCAGTTCTGCACACAAACACCAGTGTCCTGAAGGTGAGGAGAGCAGCTGTGCAGCTTGCTCAGAGCTTCCTGATTTACAAGGCAAATCTCGATGACCTGTATGAGGTCCTGTCTTCCTTTGCTATTGCCCCTTTTATGCTGTAGCTGCTTTAATGCTGTCAAGACAGTGTCACGTTGTGTTAGTTCTCACACTGACGAGTGCTTGTCATGACAGCAGTGAAGTGGCTCTGCAGCATCAAATCTGAGCTTGCGTCACAGCTGTCAGTGTTTAAGGCAGCAGTACAATAGCGTTTCCTTCAGAGGAACTGTTACACAATAATAGATTCTGGTACAGTATGTGTGTAATTTGTACTAAAGCAACACTAATGCATCCTCTCCTGCTGGAACAGGCTGATTCTTTGTAATTTGTCTGCATCAGGTCTGACTCTACTGATCCCCTATCTGATTGCCAACAAGAAGAAATGGAAGGACTGTAAGATCCGCGTCTTCATCGGTGGAAAAATCAACAGGATCGACCATGACCGCAGAGCGTACGTGCTATAGCTGTAATCCTATGAAATCATGCTGTAATGACACTTTATATCAGAATCATAACTCAAGGAAAAAATATGCTTTCCCAAAAACAGTTTAGACTCCCCCATCTCACAGTCCTGTAGAGTTCAGATGAGCTGGACTGTGGATCGTATTAGTATGCCACGCTTCTTTTCACATAAAGTGCTCTCTCTCTGAATGCATGTGGAGGTATTGTGTGTGTGTGTGTGTGTGTGTGTGTGTGTGTGTGAGAGCGAGACAAATGTTTCCCATTGTCCTCTGCAGCTGCTGCCAGAGCCTTTGTTAGCTATAATTAGACGTGTTCCAGCAGCAAGGTCTTCATAGAAACCGTGAGAGGTCTTTACACATGTCCGTGAGGTTCATTTTCATGGATCTGTTGAATCTGCGTCACTGTAGTCATGATCACACGTGGAGCTGCTGGATCTCAGGAGCATTCCAGGAACCGTCTCAGCTGCTGCGTTGGGAAACTTAATTGTTCAATGCGAGGATACAGTGGCAAATATTGCATGCATTATTTATTATTGCCTGTTAAATATGTAATGTGACTTTGTTGTGTCCTTAGCATGGCCACATTGCTCAGCAAGTTCAGGATCGATTTCTCTGACATCACGGTCCTGGGCGACATCAACACAAAACCCAAGTCAGAGGGGTATGAACATCATTCATCTCTTACATTAGCTCTTTCCTCAACATTCTTCACTGTTAATTGTTTGGGGATTTGTGTGGAATGGGTAAGATATTTGAGGGCTAGTTTTGCATTTGGGGTCTTTTTGTTAATTGATCAGCATTCAGCAATCAGTGATGATTCTGAATCGGTCCATGGAAGATCTGAATGCACTCGAGTTTAGTTTAAACCTTGGCTGGATGAAGAGGCTTATGTGCACAGACAGAATGCCGTGGTCTGGCAGTTACATAGAAAAACCTGTCTGTCACCGATCACACTTTAACAGACCTGATTTCAGAACTGTCGATCTTGTGTTTGACGTCAGAGGAACTGATAAAAACCGTAACTGAAATGGCTTTGTGATTTGGATTGGACATGTCAGAGGGAAAGTTCCACTTCAGGTTTCTCAGCACTGACCTCTTGTGTTTGTCATTCAGTTTGACCGAGTTTGCTCAGATGATCGAGCCATATAAGCTGAGAGAAGATGACATGGAGCAGGAAGCTGCTGAGAAGCTGAAGAGCGAAGAGCCCTGGAGAATCACAGACAATGAGCTGGAGCTCTACAAAGCCAAGGTCTCAACACACCTCCTGTCACATTTACAGATGATCGATCAGAGCTGATGCTGAGAAATGTAGTGCCACACAAAGCACAGCGTGTTACACAGCACTGGAGTACAGGAGCTCACACCACTGGCGTCCTACACTGTATGGGATTTCATTTGAGTCATTCCCTGGTCTGAACAATCATAGATCAGTGAGAAACACATATGAATACATAAGAATGACATAAATGATAGAAGTTGTAGTCTGACCGATCTGAAGGATTTGAGAGATATCGTTAACTTGTAGAGCCTCTTACTGTATAATCAACACAAGGAAGACACGAGTGTAATAAAAGGGGTTTTATTAACAGAAGGATAGACAAGAGTAACTAACAACTAGGCATGCACCGAAATGAAAATTCTGGATGCACTTGGCCTGAAACTGAAAATGCTTCATATTATTTATTAAAATAATAAATAATTATTACAAAGTTATTTTGTAAGACTTTTTAATTTAACTCAATTTTAATGATACTGAATTTAATAAACACAAGCCAATGAAATGCACTGGCTCCCATTTATATAGGATTCAAAGACCTCACTTTTGTTTTGAGTAATGTTTTAGAAAAGAGCATGACAAAATTAAGAGAGGACAAAAAAGGGCCCAAAATTAAGCCCTGTGGCACCCCACAAGTGACAGATGCTGCAAATGATAGAAGATGAGACCTTCAAATCTCTCTGTTTTAAAGATGGGTACAGAACCACGCATGTTGAGTTGGCATGTGTCCTAACCTATTGTTTTTACCTCTCCGGAAGAGTGTATCCAACAGAACTAGAGCAGCACTGGTCCTGCACGCAGAAGTCTTACTGACGTGGTGTTAGAGGCAAAAGTCAATCAGTCCTGATCTATTAGCAAAAAGAATGGCATTTTTAGATGGTTATGTTCAAGAACAAGTCTAGCTAAAATGCTCATGACTCAGTGGAGTAAAATGATGGTATTTAGATGCTCCGTTTCCTGTTTCTAAATGCTTGTCTGCAGAGTTTGTTTTCTCAGCTGCTAACAGATACAGCAACTTCAGTCTTCCTGCTGATTGATTTGTTTGTTTCCTCAGAGTAACCGTCAGATCCGACTGAACGAGCTGTTGAAGGAGCACTCGTGCACAGCCAACCTCATCGTCATGTAAGTTACAAACTCCAGCGTTTCAGTGACTCGTAAAGACGGTCCCATGCTGCCACCTACTGACTGAAAGAACAAACACACATCCGCAAACAACCAGAAGTCTTAGTGTTGTTGGGCTGTTATATCAGCACTTCTGGAGCACAGCTGCAATGCTGCAGTGCCATGTTTGCTGTCATTGTCAAAGAGCAGAGTGAATGGTTATTTGAGAGAGGCTAGTTAGCTGAAGTGGTCATGTTTCCAGCCAGCACTAATATTGTGTGTGTGTGTAACAGGAGCATGCCGCTGGCCAGGAAAGGAGCCGTCTCCAGCGCTCTTTACATGGCCTGGCTGGACACACTATCCAAAGACCTGCCACCCATCCTCTTGGTGCGTGGGAACCATCAGAGCGTCCTCACCTTCTACTCGTAGAGCGCTCTCAGACGCATCTGCCCACTCAAGCACAGCACCTCTGACTGATGATGATGATGATGATGATGCTGATAGACGTTTCTCGACAGAGCTGAAACAAACGGACTCCTTCCATGCCGCAGCTCAACAGCGAAGATCAACGCTTGACGGTTTATATTGTCTTGAGCTCACAGGTTTCCGAGCACACCTTGTTACACTGATTGTTGTTATCACTGTTATCGTTATTATGACTCACAACTTTTTGAGTTGTGGATTTTGTTTTCTTCCTCTTTTTAACTTGCTCTTGATGAAGCAATAATCACCTCATTTCTTATTTTCTCACTTTGAAGAAAACACGATTCTTTGCTACACTTTATAGCCTTGTGGATGTGCCTTCCTGTGCAATCAGATAAAATTCTTCAAACTTTTCCCTGACTGGTGATTTATAACGGAATAGATGTAGGCTGCTTGTTTTTATTGGGTTTTAAATGTAAATCTTCCTGGATTTGATCAAGTTTTAACTGAGGTTTCCACTGCGCCGCGTTTTCACTTTTTTTGTAGACAGATTTTTTGGTTGCTTGCTTCTTCAGAGTTTGAAGCATTGAATGAGTTGTGGAGTTTTAGCACAGCGCCCCTCCATGTTCTTGTTACAACGATCGACCTGAACTACAGGGTGATTACAATCATCTTTCAAGTAGTCTAATGTAAAAAAGTCCGAATTCTACCAGAACTATATTAGTTTTCCCTAGTGTGCAGTTGAATGGTTTTTGGTGTGATGAAGAGAGGCTGATGAGTGCCGTCTGTCTGAAGAGAACAGAGCCGTCAGATCCTTTCAAACTAACAATCAACCAAATAAGAGCAAAGCCCTCCAATCACAGATCCTGCTACAGACCAGACCTTTGCCTTAACAGATGAGCGGATGATTGTTGTCTTCAAGCCATACTGGCTAGTTGAGTGACTAGGTGAATGCAGACAGAAATAGAGAGAGAGCTGCTAGATGAACGGATGCCTGAAGCAGAATGTAGTCTTGACCAGAAAGCTCTCCATCTTCACACCCTGTTAGTTTCATCAAGCAGTCTGCAATGGTGCCTTTTGTACCTTGGCAGAACTGCTCACTTGAGCAGCTGGTGTTCGCTTTTGAACACCACTGTTCCTGTTACGCTTGGAGGTTGGGCTGTTACTGTCCCCACCTGAAGCTGGGTCTTCTCTTCCTTCCTTCTGTTCTGCTTTCATTGGTCCGTGCGTTTCTGTGGTTAAAGGCCTTACTTGGAAATCCCAAGATGTGTTAATGTGTCATTTGAAGCTGTACGAATTTATTCGGTGTTGAATGAAACTGATTTGTTCCTCTATGCAGATGGACTGCGTGCGACACGTGTATCTAAACTCAGGACCGTCTTTACCGTCGGAGACTCCGTCAGTCTTTCTTCAGATGTGAGGAGAGCCGTCGAGGAAACTGATGCAGATTTCACTCTGTTCTGTTCCTGAATGTCGTTCGCTCGTCCGGTTGGTTCTTGTGTTGAATGCTGGGATGTATGTCGTATGGCCCATCATGCCTTCGTTTCAAACTATAGCTGGAGTGTTGGTCAGTTAGCCACATGTCCATCACATTAGCTGCAGCTCTTCGGTTTCCTCACACGTTTGACACTAGTTTTGTTCACAGGCTCAGTGTTGTGCTATTGCAGGTTCTGTGTTCGTTAGAGTCACGCAGTTCACGGCCCTGCCGTCTGTGTACCTGAGAAATACTCCATGTGACCGTTAGAATGAATATATTCATATTTATAGTTCTCAATATAACTAGTATTTAAAAGTATGTAAATGTGTGTGCGCCGCATATGCTTTGATTTGAAGTGGCTGACGTTAGTGAAGCTGACGGTACAATCTTACCGTTGAAACTCTTGCGTGTTTGTACGTTGGTGTGGCTGTACAGCACCCGTTCACCTGACAATGACTAAATCACCAATTCAACGATTGCCTGTTATCTTGAATTATTAAGATACTTGTATATTATATCTAGAGATAGAAAATGGGAGAGTGTCACAAGCATATAAGGTGTTTCTCACTGATGCAGCTGTAGGTTTCCACACGCTGAGGAGCCTCTCAAAGCTTCCGCTGGTGTTTCTGTAGAAGATGAAGTCTTTTTTTGTCATGCCGTTTCTCATCCTGCAGAATGTGTTGCCAAAGTCTGTTTCATGTTCTCTCCTTAGCTTATTTCTGCGTGTGAAAACAAGTTCACACATCAAGGTCAGCGAGTTCCAGCTCGAGCTCACAAGGTCACACTATATACTTCCTTACTAACTTGTAAAAATCTTTTAGCCTAACCAGATTAATCAAAGGAGTGGAATAATAATGGCTAATTAATATGGTGAGAAATATATTTATTTCAGGGGGGTTTTCTTACAGTAGTTTTATGTGATTTTTTTTGTTGTTGTTTGGGTTTAGTCTGCAAATTCAAACTCATCTTTGGGCTCATTTTTCAGTGTTTGTTCACATTTCTATCTTTTATACGCCTTTTAAGAGTGCTCTGTTGACCAGTGGATTGAGTTTCCTGCACAACAGTGAGGATGTGTCTGGTTGACTGACTGATTGTGCTGGAACAGTAATGTTTTGATATACTGTACTGTTATTGGTCACATGTATGCTTTTTTCTAACATTTGAACGGTTAAGGGTATCAATGCTTTGTACGTCTTTATTGCAATATATAAAAATAAACTGAAATGATAATCAGTTGCTGCAGTCTTTTTCTGTTGGTGCTTCTGAATGCAGATGAACGTCTGTCCACACTTCCGTTCAGGCCGTACAGTGCATGTTGAAAGTGTTAAAGAGTCTAAAGCACGAGCTACTGGAATTTACATTAGTATGGTGATTTATACTTTTATCCAGATTAGTGGCTTATAGTACACTTAACTCAGGTTACACTGCAGGGACTGAACTTAACGTATCATCCCTGCCTTCATGTGCTGCTCAGAAAACATGCTGAACACAGACGTCATATTCAGCTTCGGGTTAAACAGGTGATTCAGCTGAGGATCATAAAAAAACATCTGATGGATGGCCCTGTCAAAATGAACTGCTAGTGAATGACACTGTCATAGAAATTATTGCAATGATGAATAAAAAGAAAAAAAATTCATATATATATGTGTGTGATATATATAGTGGTTGACTACTACAGGGGGTTAGTAATTTGGCCTATGCACTGGTAATTACATTTTCTCAAAGAATTATTCAATATTCTGAGCGTTTATTACGTCATGGGTTTGATTCCCAGGGAATAATAATGAATCTAATGAACATTTACATTTAGTCATTTAGCAGATGCTTATATCCAAAGCGACTTACAGATCAAAATCAACAAAAGAGCAAAGATATGCAAGCGCTATAACAGGTCTCAGTTGGCTTAACGCAGTACACGTAGCAAGCATTTTTTAAATTATATAATAAATAAAACAGAATGGAGCAAGCTTTTTTTTTTTAAAGAATAGGCAAGGCAAGTTTATTTGTATAGCACATTTCATACACCATGGTAATTCAAAGTGCTTTACATAAAAGGAAGTAAAATTATTTTAAAAAATCAACAATAAAACGGGGAACTTAAAAGTGTTTAAAATGATTTAGAAATTGATTTAAAATGAATTTAAAACTTGTCATTTGAAGCTGTACGAATTTATTCGGTGTTGAATGAAACTGATTTGTTCCTCTATGCAGATGGACTGCGTGCGACACGTGTATCTAAACTCAGGACCGTCTTTACCGTCGGAGACTCCGTCAGTCTTTCTTCAGATGTGAGGAGAGCCGTCGAGGAAACTGATGCAGATTTCACTCTGTTCTGTTCCTGAATGTCGTTCGCTCGTCCGGTTGGTTCTTGTGTTGAATGCTGGGATGTATGTCGTATGGCCCATCATGCCTTCGTTTCAAACTATAGCTGGAGTGTTGGTCAGTTAGCCACATGTCCATCACATTAGCTGCAGCTCTTCGGTTTCCTCACACGTTTGACACTAGTTTTGTTCACAGGCTCAGTGTTGTGCTATTGCAGGTTCTGTGTTCGTTAGAGTCACGCAGTTCACGGCCCTGCCGTCTGTGTACCTGAGAAATACTCCATGTGACCGTTAGAATGAATATATTCATATTTATAGTTCTCAATATAACTAGTATTTAAAAGTATGTAAATGTGTGTGCGCCGCATATGCTTTGATTTGAAGTGGCTGACGTTAGTGAAGCTGACGGTACAATCTTACCGTTGAAACTCTTGCGTGTTTGTACGTTGGTGTGGCTGTACAGCACCCGTTCACCTGACAATGACTAAATCACCAATTCAACGATTGCCTGTTATCTTGAATTATTAAGATACTTGTATATTATATCTAGAGATAGAAAATGGGAGAGTGTCACAAGCATATAAGGTGTTTCTCACTGATGCAGCTGTAGGTTTCCACACGCTGAGGAGCCTCTCAAAGCTTCCGCTGGTGTTTCTGTAGAAGATGAAGTCTTTTTTTGTCATGCCGTTTCTCATCCTGCAGAATGTGTTGCCAAAGTCTGTTTCATGTTCTCTCCTTAGCTTATTTCTGCGTGTGAAAACAAGTTCACACATCAAGGTCAGCGAGTTCCAGCTCGAGCTCACAAGGTCACACTATATACTTCCTTACTAACTTGTAAAAATCTTTTAGCCTAACCAGATTAATCAAAGGAGTGGAATAATAATGGCTAATTAATATGGTGAGAAATATATTTATTTCAGGGGGGTTTTCTTACAGTAGTTTTATGTGATTTTTTTTGTTGTTGTTTGGGTTTAGTCTGCAAATTCAAACTCATCTTTGGGCTCATTTTTCAGTGTTTGTTCACATTTCTATCTTTTATACGCCTTTTAAGAGTGCTCTGTTGACCAGTGGATTGAGTTTCCTGCACAACAGTGAGGATGTGTCTGGTTGACTGACTGATTGTGCTGGAACAGTAATGTTTTGATATACTGTACTGTTATTGGTCACATGTATGCTTTTTTCTAACATTTGAACGGTTAAGGGTATCAATGCTTTGTACGTCTTTATTGCAATATATAAAAATAAACTGAAATGATAATCAGTTGCTGCAGTCTTTTTCTGTTGGTGCTTCTGAATGCAGATGAACGTCTGTCCACACTTCCGTTCAGGCCGTACAGTGCATGTTGAAAGTGTTAAAGAGTCTAAAGCACGAGCTACTGGAATTTACATTAGTATGGTGATTTATACTTTTATCCAGATTAGTGGCTTATAGTACACTTAACTCAGGTTACACTGCAGGGACTGAACTTAACGTATCATCCCTGCCTTCATGTGCTGCTCAGAAAACATGCTGAACACAGACGTCATATTCAGCTTCGGGTTAAACAGGTGATTCAGCTGAGGATCATAAAAAAACATCTGATGGATGGCCCTGTCAAAATGAACTGCTAGTGAATGACACTGTCATAGAAATTATTGCAATGATGAATAAAAAGAAAAAAAAATCATATATATATGTGTGTGATATATATAGTGGTTGACTACTACAGGGGGTTAGTAATTTGGCCTATGCACTGGTAATTTTCTCAAAGAATTATTCAATATTCTGAGCGTTTATTACGTCATGGGTTTGATTCCCAGGGAATAATAATGAATCTAATGAACATTTACATTTAGTCATTTAGCAGATGCTTATATCCAAAGCGACTTACAGATCAAAATCAACAAAAGAGCAAAGATATGCAAGCGCTATAACAGGTCTCAGTTGGCTTAACGCAGTACACGTAGCAAGCATTTTTTAAATTATATAATAAATAAAACAGAATGGAGCAAGCTTTTTTTTTTTAAAGAATAGGCAAGGCAAGTTT